GAATTTGTTCTCGTATATGGTATAAGTAGGTGGTCCATTTTCATTTTTTTGACGTCAGTCCAATTTTCCTAGCACCATTTATTAAACAGACTATCTTTACTTCAGTGTAAATTCTTGCTTCCATTGTCATAGATTAAATGACTGTATATGGATGGGTTTATTTCTGTTCTGTTCCATTGGTCTATGTGTCTGTTTTTATGCCAGTACCATACTGTTTTGATTACTGTAGCCTTGTAGTATGATTTGATGTCGGGTAGCATGATACCTCCCACTTTGTTCTTATTTCTCAAGATTGCCATGGCTATGCGGTGTCTTTTATGGTTCCACATAAATTTTAGGATTATATGTTCTATTTCTGAGAAAAATGTCCTTGGTAGTTTGATAGGACTTGCATTGAATCTATATATTGCCTTAGGTAGTATTGACATTTTAACTATATTAATTCTTCCTATCCACGAGCATGGTAGGTGTTTCCATTTATTTGTATCATCTTTTATTTCTTTCTTCAGTGTCTTATAATTTTCTGAGTACAGGTTTTTTACTTCTTTGGTTAAATTTATTCCTAGATATTTTATTGTTTTTGACGTAATTGTAAAATGGATTGATTTTCTGATTTCTTCTTCTGATAGTTTATTATTGGTGCATACAAATGCAACTGATATCTGAATGTTAATTTTGTATCCTGCTACCTTACTAAATTCATTTATCAGTTCTACCAGTTTTTTGGTGGAGTCTTTGGGACTCTGTCTATATAGTATCATGTCATCTGCATATAATGATGTTATACTGCATATAACAATTTTACTTCCTCCTTTCCAATTTGGATGCCTTTTATTTCATTTTCTAGTCTGATGGCTGTGGCTAGAACTTCCAGAACTATGTTGAATAGAAGTGGTGAAAGTGGGCAGCCTTGTCTTGTTCCTAATCTTAAGGGGAAAGCTTTTAGCCTTTTCCCATTGAATACGATGTTTGCTGTGGGCTTATCATATATGGCCTTTATTATGTTGAGATATGATCCCACTATTCCCAGGTTGCTAAGAGTTTTTATCATAAATGGCTGCTGGATTTTGTCAACTGCTTTTTCTGCATCTATTAATATGATCATATGATTTTTATTTTTCATTTTGTTAATGTGATGTATTACATTAATTGATTTGTGGCTATTGAACCAACCTTGCATACCAGGAATGAATCCCACTTGATCGTGGTGTATGATCTTTTTAATGTAATGCTGAATTCCGTTTGCTAGTATTTTGTTGAGGATTTTTGCGTCTATGTTCATTAGGGATATCGGCCTGTAGTTTTCTTTTTTTGTAATATCTTTGTCTGATTTTGGGATCAGAGTAATAGTGGCCTCATAAAATGTGCTTGAGAGGCTTCCCTCCTTCTGTATTTTTTGGAATAGTTTGAGGAGAATAGGTATTAATTCTTTTTTGAATGTTTTGTAAAATTCGCCTGTGAAGCCATCTGGTCCAGGACTTTTGTTTGTTGGAAACTTGTTGATTACTGATTCAATTTCTTTGGTAGTAATCAGTCTGTTCAGAGTTTCTGTTTCTTCTTGGTTCTGACTTGGTAGATTGTATGTTTCTAGAAATTGGCCCATTTCTTCCAGATTGTCGAATTTGTTGGCATATAGTTGCTCGTAGTATTTTCTTACAATTTCCTGTATTTCTGTGGCATCTGTTCTCACTTCTCCTCTTTCATTTCTGATTTTATTAATTTGGGTCATCTTTCTCTTTTTCTTGGCGAGTCTGGCTAAGGGTTTGTTGATTTTGTCTATCTTTTCAAAAAACCAGCTCTTGGTTTCATTGATCTTTTGTATTGTTTTTCTGGTCTCTGTTTCATTTATTTCTGCTCTGGTCTTTATTATTTCCTTCCTTGTACTCCCTTTGGGCTTGTTTTGCTGTTCTTTCTCCAGTTCCCTTAGGTATAAAGATAGTCTGTTGATATGAGATTGTTCTTGTTTCTTTAGATAGGCCTGCATTGCTGTAAATTTTCCTCTTAGGACTGCTTTCACTGCATCCCATAGATTTTGAGTTGTTGTATTTTCATCTTCATTTGTCTCAAGGTATCTTTTGATTTCCTCCTTGATCTCATTTTTGACCCACATGCTATTTAGTAGCATGTTACTCAGCCTCCATGTATTTGTGTGCTTTCCATATTTCTTCTTATAATTGATTTCTAGTTTCATAGCATTGTGGTCAGAGAAGATGCTTGATATGATTTCAATCTTCTTAAATTTGTTGAGACTTGTTTTGTGGCCTAACATGTGGTCTATCTTGGAAAATGTTCCATGTGCACTTGAGAAGAATGTATATTCATGGCACCCTCCTGTACACTTCTCGTGTGCATGCTCCACACCAGGGAAACAATGGTCCCAAAACTTCCAGCTCCCGCGCCAAAGGTGCTCAGTTCAGTCCTTCCCGCAGGCTCCTGGGCCCCGCTCACACAGCTACTCCTTCCACCAGGAACCAGGTGCGTGCTTACCAGCAAGCGAGTCCGTTTGCTGGCCTTACTGTCTCTCCAGCTGCCCTCAGCCTCACCGAGTTGAACAAAGAGAGTCCTCACAATTTTCCACTTCCAGCTATCGTAGAACTCCTCTTTCTGGCAAAGTAACTCTGGGCTGGTGAGCGCGGTATGGGGCCGGAGGGTCTCTCCCCCAACCGGAGAAGCCTCCCCACCACTGAGGTGTCCATCATGGGGTTCGCCCTCTCTCATCCCTGCCCTTCCTACCAAACTCCATGTGGCCTCCTCTTTAAGTCCTTTGTTTAGAGATTCTTTCATCAAATGTTCAGGGGACTTCCGAGATTGAATGTTGTATAAATTATTTGTAATTTTTGTGTGATCCTGGGAGACAGTTGGCACAGCGTCTGTCTATTCCGCCATCTTACCGGAAGTCACCCATAAGATTTGCTTTGAAGGAAAGAGTTTTCCACTAAAAAAACCCAGGAAAAAGCCTAAAAGACCCGAATTAGTTGATTTCTGAGATTCCCTTTATCTCCAATACTTTGTAGTCCTAGGATCTAATGCTTAGGTCTTAGAGAAATTATCTCACTTTCCGTGTCTCTATGATTCTGATGTCTACATTAGCTCTTCCTGGGCTTTTTGTGTTAATTGTATTTTTGAGGGCTAACCCTCCCTCCAAATGGAATATAGGCGTACCGTGGCTCTTTTTATATAGGCGTATTGTGGGCTCTTTTTCAGACCACTGCAGTAAAGCCAGGCGTCATCTTTTGCTGGTGGAGGGTCATGCCTTCAGTTTGTAAAAAATGCAATACCTGTGAAGCGCAATAAACTGAGGTATGCTTGTATTTAATAGTCCCAGGTTCTCGTCTTCTGGGCTGCGAAGATCTTCTGATAATGCAGGGTCCACGGTGAATGAGCCCAGTGATTTCAGGACTGTTGGAACTTGCACAGGGAAGCAAGCTTTTCTGGTTCAGTCCTGTCATTTGACCAATAAGGCAACCGAAAGCCAGAGATGTGGAGTGACCTGCTCAAGGGCTCAGATCCCCTGAGGTGCTTAGCAGAAGTCAAAGCCCCCCGACAACCTCTTAACTGGTCTTTTTGTTTTTTATTCTTTAGAACAGTACCCTGAGTGAACTTTAGAACCCGTAATTTGCTCTCTTGCTTAAAACCCTCCTACGATTCCCATCTCCCTCAGGATATAGTCTTTTTGCCTGAGCCTTGAAGCCTTGCCCACTTCTCTAGCCTTCTTTTGAACCCACTGCTACTTGTTCACTGGCCTCCAGTTACTGTGTCCCACCCTTTCTTTGTGCCCAGAACCCTCTGGTGTGTCCCACCTCGGCCTTTGCACTCGCTCACCCTGCTGCCGGGTGTGCTCTTGGCCGCCGCACCCAAGCTCAGAAGTCACCTGAGAGAGGCCTCCTCAGGCCTTAGCCTCTCTCACACATTTTAATCTGCTGCTCAGAAGTCTCCAGCTCCATTTTCTATTTTATTTTTGTATTTCCTTGGTGGCCTTTATTATGCTTGGAAGTGATTTTATTTGGTCTATTTCACTCTCTACCTTTTGTCTACCTATCTGTCTGTCTATCTGTGCGTTTGTATCTTCCCTTCAGGACAAAAGGTCCATTAGCCACAGTCTTTGTATGTCTGACATCACCAGCATCTAGAACATCACTAGGACATGTCAGGTACTCATGTTGGGGGTCCTCAACACCACCCCAGGTTTGGTGATTTGCTGTGAGGATTCACAAGACTCAGCATATAATCATATTAACAACTAAAATTTATGTCAGCAAAAGGACACAAAGCAAAATCAGTAAAGGGAAGAGGTGCGTGGGGCGAAGTCCAGAGGAAACCAGGTGCAGGTTCCAAAAGCCATCCTTATGCAGTGACACAGGACATGTCAGATCTCACAACACCGACTCATGAGAGCGCACGTGAAGTGGTGTTGTCAGGGAAGCTATGAGATACTCCCTGCCCAGGCTTCTTCCTGGGGGCTGGCCCCATAGGCACTGCTGCCTAGTATGTATGGAGATTTCAGACTCCCAGGAGAAGGCAGATGTTCAGCCTAAGCCACACTGTCTGCCTGGTCTAGGCACAGGGAGCCCTCATCACTTGGGGAAAGTGTTAGATCAGTGTAGGGAACTACTGGGTTGTTGCAAAAGTCATGACGTATTTTTTCTATGTTTTTCGTTGCAAAAAAGCATCATGACTTTTCCGACAACCCAGTATTTGCCACTCAAGTTCCTAGGTACCAGCCAAGGGGTAACTGGCAAGCTGGCCTTTGTAAGGCTAGAAGTCTCAGGCCTGCTAGGGTACTTGTCTTCCGCACATTACTTAAATGCTTCTGAATGCATGAATTACCCAGTAAGATTATAGGGCCTGTGGAATCAAACTGCAAGACCCTGACAACCAGACGGTGTGGCCTCCCCTCCCTTGTCAGCATTTCTACGCCCAGATGCAGGGAGGTGAGAGTGGTCAGTCTGTTCTTCCTCCTGCCCTCAGACCCTTGGTAAGTGTAACTGTGTGGTCCCCAGGTGTTGAAGCACAATGGGTCATCAGAAATTCTCAACAAGCTATACGACACGGCCATGGACAAGCTGGAGGTGGTTAAGAAGGACTATGACGCCCTGCGGAAGAGGTATAGTGAGAAAGTGGCCATCCACAATTCGGACCTGAGCCGCCTGGAGCAGCTGGAGGAAGAGAACCAGCGCCTGCTGAAGCAGACGGAGATGCTTACCCAGCAGAGGGACACGGCCATCCAGCTGCAGCACCAGTGCGCCCTCTCCCTGCGGAGGTAGGAGCTGGAGACCAGAGGGAGGAGGACACTGAGGGCCGCGCACAGCTTCTTTGCCCTGGGGCCACTCTCCCCTGGGCTTGTGGTTATCTGCAAGGCTCCCACGCACTTCTAGAGAGTGAAACAGCACAGCAGATGGTGCTTTTCCAATCAAAAAAATACTTACAGCCAGGAAACATTTTCTGGATGCTCAGTGTGTCTTGGGGTTGTTCTTCCTCCTATGTGAACAACTTTCGGGTGTACTGACCATCCGGCTTCCTAAGTCTCCCCACAAGCCTTGCCCCTGTGTGTCAGTCTCCCACCTAGCAAATAGGAAAGTTAGTTGTCTTAGGCATTGTTTCTCTAAAATTTTATGTTTTATTAAGGTATATAATCTGCAGGAATGTGAGCCCTGCCCTCAAACAGTATTTCATAAGGTACATTCATGCAGAATACCAGTTTCTTGGAGCATTCATCAGTTTCATATGAAAAGTTCTCTGGATAGAAAAAGGTTTGGGAATTGCTGGGTTGCACACAGACCGGTGTCTGTGCCACAGGTTGCCACAGGACTTCTCAGAGCCTTCACTCTGGTACCGAGCACTAGTCTCTCCAAGAGGGGGACACAGGATGCATTGTTTCCTAAACGTAAGTCATCAGAGAACAAATACAGTTTTGTTTTGTTTTTTTAATGGAGCACCTTGCAGGGTTGGTGTTCTAAGGAACACGCTTTCAGAAATGCGGCCTTAGAACTGCAGGCTCTAATAGGCAGGGCTGCCTGCCTGTGTAGAAGGTGCCTCCTGGCCTGGAAGGGCTGAGCTGTGCTCTCATACTAACCTAGTGACTTTGAGTCAGTCACCTACATCTCCTTATTGTCTGTATCTAAAAAAAGGTGGTCGGATTAAATGATCATAATGTTACCTGTCATAGGCTATGATTCTAGCATTGTTTTTTAAATAATGTAGATTAACTGTGGAAGAAATACGTTGTTATTTCTAGTAGAGCAGAGGGCATGAAGTCCTCAGTTCAACTTGTATTTGTAAAGGCTGAGAAAAATTCCAGGTCCAGGGGCACTGGTACTCCGTGACTTTTTTCTCTTGGGGGTGTAGAGAATGACTTCACTCGGAACTTCATGCTTGACTGTCCAGCACCATGGAGCTGACCGGGCAGGTCTCTGCACCTCCCCACCCCCCACCTATGTCCCGGCTGCCTTTCTCCCCCAGGTTCGAGGCGATCCACCATGAGCTGAACAAGGCCACGGCCCAGAACAAGGACCTGCAGTGGGAGATGGAGCTGCTGCAGTCGGAGCTGACGGAGCTGAGGACCACACAGGCGAAAACTGCCAAGGAGTCCGAGAAGTACAAGGAGGAGCGGGACGCGGTGTACAGCGAGTACAAGCTCATCATGAGTGAGCGCGACCAGGTCATCTCCGAGCTGGACAAGCTGCAGACCGAGGTGGAGCTGGCCGAATCCAAGCTCAAGAGCAGCACGTCTGAGAAGAAGGCGGCCAGCGAGGAGATGGAGGCATTGCGACAGGTAGGTGGCTCCGCGGCTGGCTTCCCAGCCTCTGGGAGAGCAGCGAGAGGATGGGCTGCAATGTGCACGGTGTCCGGACTGGCAGCGTCCTTCTGAGTCAGAGCAAAGGGCTTCTCGTCTCAGGCCTGCATGCTGGCTGGGTTATTGGACGCTGCCCAGGTGACTGCTGAGCTCACTACACTCAGTGCCCAGCTCTAGTCTGGGCCACAGGGACACAAGCGGAGGTCCAGCTGTGGTGTTGGCATCCACAACTTACGGTATAGGAAGGAAGTTAGGTGTGACGCCCAGACATGCATGTGCCCCAGGCACAGACACTCTTACACTCACACCCGTGATCAAGTGATTGCTGATCAGTCTTGTGCTGAAAGTCAATGGGTTTCTTAAGGACTTGCTCATTAAGAAGCGAGATTCCAAGGCCAAATTCCATAGGTACCTTTGGCCTTGTGAGCCTGGAAGAGCACCCTTAGGGCTCTTTTCTCTAGTCTCCGAGGGATCCGCTCTTTAAGGGGCACTCAGCTCCTGCTGGGAAGATGGTACACTAGGCCAAGCCAGAGGTCCTTCTGCTGTCCTGCTCCCCAGGGGACGGCCTCCAGGGTCTGGGCCTGGGGTTTAGCAGCATTGGAATTAGGCCACTCAGCTTGACCCCTGAGGGATCAGAGTGGCTTCTCTGCATCGTTCCTGTTGGCCCCTCGGCCACTTCACTGACACCCCTCACTCCCTCGTGTGGATGTGCCCTGTTGGCTCCTTGATTGGATATGCCCTTCCATCCACGTGTGACTCTGTTTAGAGCTGCTGAACTTGGTCATAGCAGGCATTTTCCCCATTGAAATGCCTCTCCGCTCTACTTTTCTGTGCAGGTCAGTTAGAACGCAAGCTTTAAAATTCGTCTATGAGAAGTGAAAAGCAAGGTGTTAGAGTTGGGCAAATTGGCAGGGGACAGCTGGCATTGGATTATTGCAGCCAGAGCCCCCTGGACCCAGCACAAGGCAGGGCTGATGTCTGAGGGTTGGCCGGTGCCCTGTGAGTCTTTCTGCAGACAGTGACACCTCCTTACGCCCGGCCAGTGCTAGGGGCTGTGGCCTGCAGGGGGCACTGGCCCTGTGTTTGGAGAGAAGGCCTCCTCAGTCATGTGACCTCTTGCCTTTCTGGGCCTGTTTCCTCATCCACAAGATGGAAATGATGATAGCATCTGCCTCACGGGTGCTTGTGACGATCACATGATTTAATATTGAAAATGCAATTAGACTAGTGCCGGCACAAAGTAGGAATGATTTGAGTCTTTATTATTAAGATGATTATTAGCTGCTCAGTCAGGATTAGAGCAAACCCTATGAAATTGTTTTTGTAGGAAAAAATGGTCCAACTAATGGCAATTTCATACCAAGGGAGTGAGACTTTTCCAGACTGTCAAGGTGAAAGCCGTTATGAAAAGGAATATTTACTCTGTGGATGAAAATTTTAAAACACCATGATGAAGGAATTTTTAATAAGCAAAAATAATGTATTAGAACTTGGTAATTGTCCTAGAGAAACCATCAGCTCATTTTCACACTCTGGCGTCTAAGAGCTAATGGTTGGGAAAATTTTATCAAATAAGAAAAACAAAATGATGAAGAGGTAAACTTTGAAAATGACTGAGTGAGTCGCTAAACTAGAAAGCCAAGGACAATGTGTCAAGCACATAGGAGGTGAGCCTGTAATAGGACAGCAGCCCACGTGGAGGGGTTTTTGAAATTGCAGAGGTTAACTGACCATGCCCTTTGTAGGAATGTGGAAAGCACCGCGAATTATGAAGGACCCCCGACTTCCCTCAGTACTAGCATCCGGTGGCCTGTCACCCCATGCCTAGCACTCAAGCGTGCCTTTCAGCCTTCGCAGGAGGCCTTGGCTGGCTGTCAAGTCTGCCT